GTGTTCACTAATGCTGTCTATCTGACAGTGGCTGTCATTTGTAACGGGAACAATGTTGCGCTCCGTTCCAACAGCAGCATGACAACGATGAGAAGTACTTCTTCTCGAAGTACTTCACTCGTTCTAATGATGAATTTCAGAATTCAAGAGCTCTGGGTTGGACGTTAGCAAACTGAACACCTTTTCTGATTGATAACAGATCAGCCATGTTGTAACGTCCTATGCAACATTAACTGATAATCAACAGCTCAAACAAGTGCTCCTCTGCTCACCAAATGCATTGTGAGGCGTCGCTCCAACAAGACAGGTTTTCTGCATTTTCTTCTGAATTGGTATTGTATTTCTAAATATGCAGGAAGTACAAAAAAAAAAAAAAGGACCCTTCCTATTAAACTCCAGCTGTCTACTTTTTCCCAACACAGCCTTGAACCCACCACACCATCCTACCCACCCACCTTCCTTTCCACCGACATCAAACAGAACCTCAGACCTGGTTCCCTAATGCAATGCTATTTTTAACTAAGCGTTTCTAATAAGCTGCGGGGAAGCTGTAAATTTTTCATATGCAAGCACATATTTCTTTTGTGAAAACACAGAAACACTCTTATTTGCTGATTAGTGACTGACAGAGGAGGAAAGGAACTGAATATGCTTGTATCAAATTGCATGCCTTTCAAAAAGGAGGAATCCTAATGCAAGGAGTCGTCTTCCTGTGCACCACAGGTATGAGTGAATTATTAATCGGCCAGCTCATTTTAATGCTTTTTAAAGTGCTTTATTTTGATGTGCTAAAACATACTTTTAGCCATATTCAGTCAGGCATGCATATCATTATTTCTTCCATCAAAGAGGAGTGTCGCCCTTTCAAAGAGCACAAACAACTCAGCCTCATTTAAAATAGAAGTTCAAATATCAAAGATGTTTTACAAAGGCACGGCTTCAAACACTGTGATGAAGTTTTTTTTTTTTTTTATTATTTTTTTTTTTCCTAATCTGTACTTTATAAAAACTTTGGCATGCAAAAGGTGCAGATTATTTTGCAGCTTTTAACCTGACTCGTGTAAATCAAAACACCTCACAGTTAGACAAGGGAAGTTAGACGCAAGAAGTTAGACAAGTGAAGAGGATCTATATCTGGGCCTGATGCTGTTCAGAGTCATTAAAATCAAGCATCCTTTCCATGGTATGATAGACGTCTAAACTCGCAGCTTTGTTTTTGGTGTTACAGCCGTTCAGGTTTAGCTGAGCTGAGAAGAGAGAACTGCAACAAGGTTAAATTTTCTTATCTTAAAAAAAGACAACAAAGAAAAGCAAGGCAATCAGTAAGTAAATGAAGCTTTTTGAGCTTGACGCACTTTGATGCTCTGATGCACATGCATGGTACGTAATGGGAAAGAACCTCATTTTGAATTGAAGTGAACTTGCTTCTCATTTATTGGAGTTTCATTGTTTTCATGCCTCTGTCAATTTGTAGAAAAACTATTTTTTTTTTCTATTATGTTTTTTTTTATTCTTGCTCCAAACAATATTACAGCTACATTCAGCCTGCTAACATTTGTTTTAACATATTAAATCATGACAGAATGTGTGTGTAAAGCTGCAGACATGTTTAAAAGATTATATTGTCTTAGTGGAGAATCATAACAACTATGAGCTAGCAAAATAAACTAAAAATGTTATTATTAGTTGCAATAATAAAAGCAATGATAAAAAGTATTCAAAATGTCATCTCTCTCTGCATGTAGTCAGAGCATCATAAGCACAATTAATAAATAAATAAAATATACTCATTAACAAATAGGCTTTATTAGCACATGATTCACATTAGATAGTGCAAGTACCATTAAATGATATGTATTAATTGCATTTAATCACAGCTTATAATATTTGATGCTCTTAGGGAATCGGCAGTGGAAAAAAAATAATTCTGCAGAAATACCCATCCAAGCAATAATGTCAGAATGTAGGCCTTTGGGGGGTTTGCAAGGATCATCAATTTCTATATTCTAATAGCAAGTGAACAACAAAACAATTGTGCATCCCTAATGGTAACATAATATTGGGATTCCATTACGTGTTCTAGTTACTTAAACACTTCTTGCAAGTATGCCAAATTTGATGAAATCTGAAATGATGTAAATATTATCATGCGACTAAGTTCTCGGAAAATCTCAGTTTGCACTTCGACAAAAGTATTTAAAGTTGGGTGGTTTAAAACTAATAACAGAGCTCTTTAAAAATGTGGTTTCTGAACGTGTTTAACATTCGAAGAGTGAAAAGCAGCAAGCTTAATCAGAAATTCAGACCAGAGACGCCTCTCCTCAACCTGAGCTCAGGCCCCTGCTGAAGACAAGCCCCGCACACACACACGCACACACACACACACACACACACACATACAACAGAATAGATAAACATAGAAATAGAAATCCCAATATTAAAACAAACATCCTATGCATTCAGTATTGCTGGTGTCCAACTCTGTGTGCCGCAAAGTTGAGAATGAGGATCACACGGGAGTCTGCACACAGGCCGTGCTCATCTATTGAGCAAAAACAAAACAAGAGTCACATGACACCTCAACTTATCACATATACATACTGCTTACCCTATCTGTATTGTTCCTAGCAAAATTCGTAGTGTGCAGGGTTGTTTATGTGAATAGTACCATTTTAAAACAGCCTGTGAAGTTTTTTTTTTGTTTGTTTTGTTTTTAATTTATTAAAGTAAGTTTAATTTAGTTAGACAAAAGGCCAATCGTTTACATCTCTCAGGAGCTGCAGCCGTGCAGCTGTGTATAGTGCTCCCTAGAAAAAAAAAAGAAAAAAAAAAGTGTATTAATGTTGGCCTTACCTGTCCCTTTGGTGAGCTCCTTCTCCCCCCCACTTTCTCTGTCTTTGGTTTGGTCCTCCTGATCTGTGGTGGTCTCACTAGCAGCCTCCACATCCTCGCTCAGCTCTCCTGAAGGGGGAGGGAGACCGGAATATGTAAATCACCACACCATCAGAATTGGTGGAAGCACTTAAAGGGACGGCAGCATTTTTTTTTTTTTTCTATAGGAGCTTGCAACAATTACATTTGCTGACATATAGTTGCAAGGCTAGCAGACAAAGAGGACAGAATCTGCTTTCTATTGCTGTAGTATCTGAGAACACTAATATTTAGTCAGACTTGAATTATTAAATCAGAGTTGAATCATGAGGGAAAAGGAAAACAAATATTGATTCATAGAGGAAATAATGTTTTTTTTATTCTTATTTAGTATGGATACAAAACTGCAAAAAGAAAAAAAAAAGACACGTGTTCTAGTAGATGGAAAAATAACTGCAACCTTCAAGAAATAGACATTTTATCACACACCATTCTCTTACACACATTTTACTGTCCCCTGCTGCAATCTGTTAAATTACTAACCAATACCAATAACCCAGTTTCTATTCTGTTATTCTACTATTAAAAAATCATAAATATTTAAAACTTTCAGGCCAACAATTCAATGTATTTTTATGCCAAGTCAAAGTCAGAAATCCCCTGTAACCATCTTAAAAGCATTAGCTCGATATATCAGGGCCATTTAGGAGCGTCAAAGTCCCAACAATGGATATCCAATAACTCCATTTGTAAGTAACACACAGAGGAAAAGATAGCAAAAACAGATAATAAAAAGCGCATCAATCATGTTTATTTCCCTCCAGTGCCCTGTGAACATCCCCTCTGCCTGTTAAGTTTGTTTAAAAGTAGAGAGACTTGCATGCAACAGCATTGATTTGACAACAGTAAACTAGGCCGCAGTCGATAGGCTTTATCAGTTATTACACAAGTCAGCTAATTCTCAGCAAATGTACTTAAATGCTCTTTTGAAAATGCTTTCATGCCTCGGTCTCTACTCTATGAGCTATTGATATATTGACAAAAGTACAACAGCTACTGAAATATCCTGGTCAAGTATTCAGCCCTGCAGTCATCGCGCATCTAGTTTGAGCTCACTACAGGAATACCATGAGCCAAAACCGCTTTCATGACATTACGCTGTCCCTCATCACTCCCTCTTACTTCTCTCAATTAGTGAACGCTCCTGCTCATCAACAAACGTGCTTATTAAAGCCAGAGTCATAACTGAGATGCATCCTAAAACAAACAAACAAACAAAAAAAATCCTCAGTTGCTTAAAAATGAATGGTTACAAGAACAATACTGGAATAAGAAACATAACTTTTCACATAGCTGTTTCACTGCTTAAAGAGGCTATGCTGCAACAAAAAACAGTAACAAAAAAAAAATAAAATACAATACAATAATTGAACAGGAAACACCTTTTGTATTCCCTACCACGAACTAGCAAGCACTTCCTGCTTGCCAATACAGTTGTTGTAGGAAACAGCTGTCTGAGCAGAGTGAGAAGTGTATGGATTTTGATGTAAAACATTATCGCCAAAGCCAATCTGACAATCCGTTGTTTAAATAAACATTTTTAAAGGCGAGGCTGACACCTCGAACACAAATACTTAAGTCATTTTTTTTTTATTCTTTAAATGTAAAAAAAATCTAAATTCTATCTAGAATATTCCGAAACACCAAATGTCCTCTAAACAAGTCCAAAATCTTCTGAATGGTCGTTTAATCCCATCTACCTCACGTCTGCATAAATCTCCACGGCTGTGTGAGAATTAGGATGCTGTGCAGCTGCATAGGTGCTTAGATTACAAAATAATCCCCAGGTAAATTTTTTTTCAACCCTTAAAAATGGGGCAATGTGTCATTTCCTGCCATGTGACACATGTAGTGAGACTAATTCTCCACCCACACATCAATACTTACTTTGTTCTCAAACATTACCGTGATAGGCAGCCTACATTTTAAAGCTATTTAGCTTCCGTGTACCCGCCCCCAAAAATCGAGCACAAACACGTTACCTGCACGTATGTGCACGCATACGTTTCTTTCCCCATCATGTTTTTTTTTATTCTGCTTTATCGAGCTGTTTAATCAACATGCATGACAATTTGAGCCTGCACAACACAGAGCCCCATACATAATTTATACAGAAATGCAGACGTATGATTCCAGCAGCGCTTTCACATCTCTAAGCGGCAAATGGTTTTGCCCATTTCTCGTCTCATCTACAACCGCATTACAGAATGATTAAAGCTAGGTCGACTTTAATTAATGAAAGGTCACGAGTGGCCTAAGAGTAGGATGCAAATGGAAGAGACACTAAAACTGCAGCTGCAGATTAACTCTGGAAATAGATTAGGAGAAACACTCAAAGCTATGGCAGTGGGCCATTTCTAACCCAAATCTGAAAGATGTAAAGGACAATAGCCTGAAGGTTGTCTTCTAATTAATTGTCTTCATTAACCATTCTAATACAATGATATGAAACAGTTCCATTAATCTAATCATGCAAGCTGAATAAGCCTATTGCCGACACAAAGATTAAACTCATCTGTTCTGAGCATATAAATTTCAGCCCTGCTCTGCCAGTCACTCAGTGGGGACAGTTCACGGGCTCTCTGTTCCAGCGTCTCCCAGACAGACACACACACACACACACACGCACACGCACACACACACATCATTCAGGCGCTTTGCAGCCTTTCCCCATGAGTTTTTCTTCCTTGCCTGTGACTGCAAAGGCCTACTCAAACCTATAGGTGTCACTCTATACAAGCTGGGAGAGAGCAACTTGCTCGCACACATTAATGAGGTGCGGGGGGAAGGGGCCGAACAGCATCAGACAGAAACACATGGGGAAAGGAAAACGGGAAGAAATATGTGGAGATGACAAAAGCAGATGCTATGCAAAAGCTGTCCGGTGAAGATGAGACACTGAAAATGGAAAGATTACCTTCAGATGAGAGAGAGAGCAGTCTTCCTTTTTTCCCCCCGAAGAGCAGTGATTACACTAATGCTAATCAGACTGACAAGCACAAACGGCCTAATAAATAATTGATGGTAACCACTGCACTTTCCAGTATTCCTTCCCAGACTGTAGAGAAGAGCAGCAGCAAGTAATAATAGTCACTCTGGATATCTTTCACTGGGTCAGGCTCCTCCTCCGTCCGCGGCCTCAGCTGAATATACCGCTATGATGGTAACTGCCTTTTAAAAGTGCGGAACTGCAGTCCCACCTGAAAACGGCTCCCGTGGTCCTCAAACTATTTTCTGCTGCATATTCGGTTCTCAGACAATAACACTAGTGCCTGCTGCCGTTTGACATGCATGTGCCCTGGATCACCCCTGTGAGGGATGAGTTGAACTTCTTCCTCTGCCGGGCTCCTGAGTTCTTGGAAGGGAGGCTGCGTTCTGCCTCCTTCTGGCTGTGGCTCCGTCTCTAAGCCCTCATTACTCTCATTATCATTATCAAAGCTGCTGTCATCAGTTTTAGCCAGGTTGTCACAGGGTACAGTAAATCAGATAGGTGTGCGTCCCCCCCCCCACCCCCCATGCTTTATCCCAGGGTGGACAGCTTCCTTTTCCATAGCGCTGTTCTGTCGGATAAAAAGCAATCTTATTTCACACTTCACAGACTCCATCTTTCTCCCCTACTTCGTCTTTTAAGCATCCCCCTCTGCCTCCCCCCCAGCACCCGGTGCTCCCCTTCCATGTATTAAAGTTGGCCTGACTCTGGACTAGAGGGCGCAAAATGAAAGTGACAGGAGGGTACCATGGGACAATGAGACACAGGACCCATGCTGAGAGCTTTCATGCATTGTCCGCTCCTCATATCAGCACCTCTGCACTCCGTACACAGGACACTCCTCCCTCTTCTAAGGCAAAATAAACAGCAAAATCCTTCCAACTTTTAATACCCCCCCACCACCACCACCACCACCCCCACCTTCACCGACACTGTTAGAAGTTCTCTCCTCGAGTCTTCACAAGGTGCACCTCATAAAAACCTCAACTAAGAAAAACATGTCAGAAAACAGAGACAAAATGTGTGTTCCTCATGAGCATCTAATAAGCTGTAAGGTGACATTATCAAAAACAATAATTGCCACTTGCATTACTTATGCTGAAAAAAAAAAATAAATAAGAATGGACACAATGAATATATACATATATATTTGAAATGGCTGTCAAAACACTCAAACTGATATGTGGAAAAATTGAAATCTAAGCAACAGTACTTGCATCAAATTAAAGCACCCAGTGTGGTAATATCTCAGGAAATGAATGCGCCGAATGTGAGGGAGTTTGGCTCATGCAAAATGAATGTCTATTTTGTCTCTGTGCTCCACTCACATATGCCCTCGCTCCCTGCTCTCCCACACAGCATCACGGTCTTTGAAAGGAAAGACGAGCAAGGCTACTTCGGCGCTGCTGGTCAGAGTTACGTGTTAGATTCCTGACCTGTCTATGGGGGGGCGGAGGGGGGAGCTCGCTGGCCTCTCCCTGCTGGCCCTGCTCTGACCTCAGGATCCAAATGTGAATGAATACTTTGTGTCTCCAACGGGCTGAGGGCAGGAGGAACGAAAAGGGCGCAAGAGCGACGGAGGAGAAGGTGCAGCGGGTGGAGGAGGGGTAAAGAGTTAGGGCAGCTAATAAAGAAAAAAATGACCAAAAAAAAACTTTACAGAGCAAGTTAATCACAGACAGCTTTAGAAGCTGCAATGGAAGCGTGTCAGAAACCCCTCCTTATTTGAGCCATTGCTTTATCTTCGGTACATGCACATCACATCAGCCTATAGGTCCTCATTCTGATTCCCCTTACATCTCAAAGTCAATATTGTTCCGTGTTATGGAGGATATTAAAAAAAAAGGATTTAAAAAGCACTCTCATTGCAGCTCATTTAACCATTTTCTATGCTCTTGGTACTTATTCAATTAAAAATATTTTCCCTAATGTGTTACCTCTTGGGAAACTAATTAGAAATACTTATTGCAGTAACGACATGTTTAGAAACATTACAAATAAAGTAAAGTGCAGCTGCTCCAATTCTTTTGTCTTTGTGTTT